ATATATATATATATACGTATATATATATATATTACACAGACACACACACACACACACACACAGTACAATAATATATACATATATATGTGTGTGTGTGTATTTAAGTATATATGAATATATGCATGTGATATATAATGTAAAACTATGAGTAATAATTAATATTAACATTTCAATATTAAAATAATAAAATATTATTATCAATGAATATGAATTATACTAGTAATATATGCCATTACACATCTAATTTAATGGCATTCATGTGTTTTCACTGTCATGGAAAACCTGGAAGTATCTGTGAATTTTAAAAATGGTGTTTACCATTTCCATATTTAAAAATCTTGTTTATAGAATCTTTTTTAGTGAATACACATTTTAATCGCTTTTCTACAATATTTCATATTGTTCTTGTCCTATGTACAGTAAAGCTTGCTCATAATGACTGATTTGTGAGTCATTCTTTTGAGTCAATTCTTAATGATTCATAAGTGAATTGGTCTGTGTTTGAATCATTTTTAAAAATCCTTATCCACGTACTGGAAAGGTCACAGTAATTCACTGGTCAAAAAGTGCAGGATCCCTAATAAACGTTAGCACTAAATCTGATTCACAGCTTTTGGTGGCTCGAAATCAATTATGAAGCTAATCTGAACGCTGATTCGAGGTGCTGAACTCAATCAATGCTTTCCTTCTGCGTCCTCTTTTTGTCATTTAGGTGTTAGCCAGAAAGCCGCGGCCCAACTGGATGAATATTGAAAGGTCACGGCTCTGTGCTCTTTAATAAATGATTGGTTGATGGATTCGACATAACCCGATCAATGACTGTATCAGCGTCGCATTTTAAAACACATCTCAGTGTTTACTTCGGCTCATTGCAGGGAAACGACTGCACTGAAGTTTGGTTATGGTAATGTCTCCATTCCTGATGTTTTTAGACTTCAGACATGGTTTTGTTGCCTTCGTTGATGGTGTGTGCTGTATTTTTGAGAAGGAGAGCACCCCTGAGAGAAGATTTACCGGTCCAGTCTAGTCCCAATGTCATGGTGCTTTTACTCCGCAGAAATTCCTGGTCTCTCTGGCGGATGTGGAGACGCCAGCTGTATTTATCAGTAAGTGGTGCTCTAGCGCTGGAGCTGACAGTGATGTATGTCCTCCATGATGGATGGCTCGTGTGCCTGTATTCAAGTCCATCAGATGAGCTGTTGCTGTAGTTTTTCACAGTATTTTGCTGTTCGCCGCATTCATACATCTGCCGTTTCAGTTCTGGGGAACTTCAGACCTGCTTTGTTTCTCGCTAACAGCCCGCAATAGGTTCAGTTTGTGGTCGTTTCTTCAATTAGGGGAACGATTGTGTGTTATATGTGTGTGAATATATATAGCTATTTTATATTTAAAAGTTTGAACTTTAGGGCTCGTTAAGATCTTGTAATGTTGTTGAAAAAGTCTCTTACTCTCACCACGGCTGAAAGTTGGTGGGTTTTCTGACTAATTGGTCTTAATTAAAGGTCCTTTATAATTAGGCTGGTTTTAGGTTCATTTATCTGAAATGTAATGTTCTTGCAACAATGTAAAAGTCTATTAAATAATATTATTTTAATTATAAACTTTATGATGTTTATTTTATTATTAATTATTATTTTATGATAAATTATACATATATTTTTAAGATTATACTGCTTTTATTGTGTCTCTTTACTTTATTTTTTACTTTTGTAATAATCATTTTATTATAAATGATATTGTATATTCAATAAATATAATGTATATTGCTTTTTATAGTGTCTCTTTGCTTTAGTTTTTACTTTTTTAATTATTATTTTTCATTAATTATACGTATATTTTAAATATGCTAAATATAAATTGTATATACTCTATATATAACATATGAATTGTATGTCTCTTTTTTTACTTAGTTTTTTTTAAGTTGCTGGGTTGTTTGAATGACTAGTTGACTAATTAGTCTTAATTAAAACTCTGTATAATTAGCCTGGTTTCAGGTTCATTTATTGGAACTAGAATGTTCTTGCAACATTATAAATGTCTTAAAATGTGTCACTTTTGAGCAATTGAATGCATCCTTATATGCAATCCATGTTTATGTCTTATATACTTTTATAAGCTGCATTGTTTTTGGTTGTTTTTTATTTTTTAGTAATATTTAGTTCTCAACGTTTCGCTCTACTATGATAGTAAGATGGCAAAACTGTGCTACTTTTAAATGTACCATAGTACGTAATGTTTATTTTAAGGTTACACACAGCAGAAAAGACTCTGCCAATACTATTATATAACACACTGCCTTTATTTTCAGTAATAATAAAATAATTTATAATAATGCATTATTATAATATATAAATAACAGATTGCATATATTGAGTCATATGTTTGCATCTCAAACCTTTGGTCTCTCTGACTCTGTAGACAACACAGCCGGCATCAGGACGCAGCGCTCTGGATTCAACCGTCAGGAGCAGAACGTGTACCTGCTGCCCATCCTGGTGGTGGACAGCGGCCCTCCGGCCCTCAGCAGCACGGGGACCCTCACCATCCACGTGTGCGGCTGTGACACGGACGGAGCCATTCAGTCCTGCAACGCCACGGCCTACGTCATGTCAGCCGCGCTCAGCCCCGGTGCTCTCATCGCGCTGCTGGTCTGCATCCTCATCCTCATCGGTAAAGCCTTCACTTATCAACTGATTAAGGAACATCACGACCTATTTTCAACCTAATGTCAGAGTTTGAGAGAATGCAATTCAATGCTTTCCTCAGTTCATAATGCATGCTTTAGGAAGCCGAGCAGGCAAGAAACTGGTATTTCAGTGTTGCATAGATTGTCCAATTGAGTTTGTACTGCATTTCTAGGTGGATGAACTGCTTATGCATCACTGGTGTCATTCTTGTGAGTTTATTGAATGTAAACAGTGTGTTACATCACATCCTCACACGGATGCTAAGCGAAAGTAACCGTGTTTTCTTGTTCCACTGGTTGTGCGATGAAAGACTTTGACAGACGGGGTTGATATGCGACTCTATCGCACCGGTCTCATGCTGTATCCGTGTAATATTGTGTTGTGCTTCTAGTTTTGAAGCAGTCTGACAGATCGGACAGCGTATTGAGTACCAACATCATGTAGCTTGACTGGTAGAACATCACAAGGTCATGGGTTTGAACTCTAGGGAGCAAATAAACTGATGAAATTTATAGCTTGAATTCACTGTTCGCTTTGGATAAAATCATCTGCCATATCCATAAACGCACACTACTAGTCAAAGGTTTGGACGCACTTTTCTGAATTTGTTTCTCATGACCTTGAAAACCTCTTCATCTAAAATTGATGCTTAATTGTTTGAAAAGAATATTAATTTATTTACAAAACTTATTTTCATTTAATTGTTTGTTTGCCTATATGTTATATTTATAAATATTTTTATTTTTATCTAAAAAAAAGTGAAAAAAGTGACATTTCTGTGACGCCAAAGCTAAAAAATAAAAAGTTTTTAAAAATTATGTTCTTATAACAATGTAAATGTATTTATAATAAATAGAGTAATAAAAATAGTAATGATTACTGTAACAATGTACAATTCTAAAATTATTCTAAAACTATGGAGGAAAAACGTAACAATGCAGAATGAGTATATGCCTCTTAAACATTTATTCACAGTTCTCATCTGATAGATTTCCATTGATTTCCAATGTGTTTCCCATTCATTCATGCACACGTTTATGCATTTATTATTTGTGGTATGCTGTCTGTAGATATTAAATGGTAAATAACCCAGAGGATTACTTAAGCATTTATATAAGGTATGTATGTCATGGAATGTGAGTGTATGTGGGTCAATGATGTGAATGAATGCAAGGGTCACTCATCTGTATCATCTTACCTTTAACAAAACACAGGTGTCTGACGGATCTCTAAGATGCAAGGATGTCCACTTGAGAATATGCATTAATATTTGCATTCATAGAGCAATTCATAGAGGCTTTCAATAGTCGTATGCTTGGAGAGCAGCAGATATATAGAGCCAAGCAAGCTCTTAACATTTGTGTTTGCCTCCACCACCGCTGTAACTCTTTTAATGGCCCATCATCATTCTTTAAAACCTGGGTTCAAATGCGGCAGGAGGTGAAAAACAAAACTAGGATGACATAAAAGCTGATCAATATTTCATTCAGCATCCTCTGCCCACCGACTGCAGTTGCTCATCCTCCGTCAGGCAGAGAACGAAAGCTTTTGTTCATGCAGAGCGAACACACTCCCAATATAGGGCTCTGTGAATGACGTGCAGCCTCTCTAGCGGAGGACGGGTGAGTTAGGGGATGCTCAAAACGGATGTAGCCCTCGCTCGCAAAAAGAGCAGCATCAGCACCGCTGTCCCGGCGGAGCGCCGTGGCTTTAAATAGAGCAGCCTTTCTAGACATCCACCAGTTCCCATGTACCGGAGCGGTGGACTGCGCTTCTCTTGTCATCTCTGAAAGTTTTATGACTTTCTTCTGTCCTCAGTATATCTGTCTTTATTTTTCTCTTCTCCACTTAGTGCTTTTCCCATCCCTCTCTCTCTCTCTCTCTCTCTCTCGGGAAAGTATGCAACATGAATTGTTTTCAGTCAGCTGAGCACGTTTCTGCTCATCTTTCCTGCGGTGAATCATTGGCAGGTCATGTGCGGGTCTTCAGACGCACCTCATTTCGGTTTAATTAGCCGTGTTTACTAAGTCAAGCATAATTATTACTATTGCTCATACTTTGGTTCAGGGGTTTTCAAAAGTGACCAGGCTTAACATATTTGATAAATATAGCAAAAAAGATTATAATAGAGTCTCTTTTTTTAATTATAATTTTATATTTTATTGTATGTATCTATTTAATATTCTATTTTTAATTGCATTTTAGTCTGTTATTTTAGTTGTTTTTGCCTATTTTACTCTATTTTAATAATCTAAATGCAATCAAAAGTTATATTTGGAAACATAATTCATAATAATTATTTTTCTCTTCTATACTATTCTGTTCTGGTCTTTGCTATTTCCAGTCCTGGCTTCAGATCGGTCAGTATTCAAGTAACATAGCCTGTCATACTGTAATCCTTTTTTTTATTATATTTTATTTTATTTTAATATTTTAAGATGTTTGTTTTTTTTAATTATGTATCTTTTTATTATTATTTTAACCTATTTTAGTCTATTTTAATCTAAATGGAATCAATATTTGGAAACCACAGAGGATCTTTTCATGCAATAATGTAAATACAGTAAAACCACCTAGCAACCACATAGCAATTCCCTGGCATCCACTCACAACGCTCTAGTGGTGAGTTTTTGCACGGACAAACACCTCTTACATTTTCATAAAATGTCTTATCATTTAGTCATTAGTTTTAATGTGTCGTGTAAATATGTGAGCGAAGCACCCCAAAATTGATCTCTAATTAATAATTTTGTCATCCCAAAGGATTTGATCTTCTTCTGAAATGAACATCAATTAAAACCGAAGCAGCATAGTGAAGCTGAAAGGCAGAAACGGTTGAAAGTTTAATGCTGGTTGTTTTAAATCTGTGGTGTCTGAGAGCACAGTTGGCGTGTGAATGTTTGGCAGCACTGAATAGTCGATGATGAACACTGAGAACATTTGCAGCCACCTTCAAATCCCATATGGACAAATACAATTCATAGTCAGATTATGGAACATCTGTGTTCCAAGTATTCTAGACTAGTTTGAGAGCATAGTTCTGTTCGGTTCGGTTCCATGCTAGTTCTGGTCCTGGCTTCTGATTGGTCAATAGCAAGTTGTTGTTTTTTTGTAATGTGTCAAATTAGTTTAATTTAATTTAAAATTATTTAGCCTATTTTAGTCTATTTTATCTAAATGGAATCAAAAGTTATATTTAGAAATGTAATTCATAATTAATATTCTATTCTATTCGATATTCAACTAACATAACCTGCTGTACTTTTTTCCTTTCCTTTCCTTTCCTTTCTTTCTTTTTTTTTTTTTTTTTTTAATTTCATTATGTTTTAGGCTTTTTATTTATTTTTTATTTTTTTGCACGCTACACATGAATCACATTTATTCTTTTCTTTTTTCTTTTTATTAACCAGCATCATAACTACATTTTACAGAATGACAAGAAGAGTACAGAGCAAAGACAAGATATTTTTATCTGTTTTTTTATTATTATGCATCTATTTATTTTATTTTATTTTATTCTATTTTATTTTAGCCTATTTTATTGCCTATTTTATTCTATTTTAATCTAAATGGAATCAAAAAGTATGTTTGTGCGCAGAATTCATAATAATTAATATTCTCTTCTGTGCTACACTTCTAATTCATATTCAAGTAACATAACCTATTGTACCTATTTCTTTTTATATTGTTTTAATTTTTTTATTTGTTTGTTTGTTTATTGTTGTTATATATAATATTTATTTTTAAAATCTTTTTTGTATTTAATATTTTATTTTTATTTATATTTTCTTTTTTAGTCTAAATGTAATTAAAACATATAAAATGTATAGTAGGATTGTTGTATGTTCAATTCTACGCTATTCTCTTCTATTCTTTTCTGTACTAGTTATGGTCCTGGCTTCTGATTGGTCAATTTTCAAATAACAACCTGTGATACCTTATTCCTTTATATTGTAATATGAATTGTTATATAAATAAAATGTAGTTTCAAGAGTCTCTATTCTGTTGTAGTCTAGTCTAGATTAATGTAGTCCATTCTTTTTCTAGTCTAGTCTAGTCTAGATGTAATCAAAAGTTGCACCAGTATGTCTCCTCTTCGTTGAGTACACCGATCGGACAGATCTCATGACGTTGGAAGGAAGCGGGTGTCCCTCCTGATCGGCGCCTTCCTCGAACGCCGCACCGTTCCTATTAGATCAATTTGTGGCATGATAAGGAGGGAATGAAAACAAATTTCTGCCTAATTAGCTTCAAACAAACAACCCCTCCATCAGTTCATTCTGAGGGTGACGTGATAAATCCATTTGGGCGCAGCATGGCATCTGCACACATCCGTCCCAATTACAGCCCATCTGCCATGATGGGAGTCCTGGCCACCTGCCGCCCAAGGGTAAATTAGCCGTCTTGTCAGGTCTGCTTAACCGAACATCTGCACGGCAAGGAGTCGCAACATGTTTCACAAGGGCAGGTACATAATGGAATCAAAAAGTATGTTTGTGCGCAGAATTCATAATAATTAATATTCTCTTCTGTGCTACACTTCTAATTCATATTCAAGTAACATAACCTATTGTACCTATTTCTTTTTATATTGTTTACATTTTTTTATTTGTTTGTTTGTTTATTGTTGTTATATATAATATTTATTTTTAAAATCTTTTTTGTATTTAATATTTTATTTTTATTTATATTTTCTTTTTTAGTCTAAATGTAATTAAAACGTATAAAATGTATAGTAGGATTGTTGTATGTTCAATTCTACGCTATTCTCTTCTATTCTTTTCTGTACTAGTTATGGTCCTGGCTTCTGATTGGTCAATTTTCAAATAACAACCTGTGATACCTTATTCCTTTATATTGTAATATGAATTGTTATATAAATAAAATTTAGTTTCAAGAGTCTCTATTCTGTTGTAGTCTAGTCTAGATTAATGTAGTCCATTCTTTTTCTAGTCTAGTCTAGTCTAGATGTAATCTAAAGTT